GACCATAAAATTTAGTAGAAAATGCCATATTTCAAAACGTTAACTCAAAACTCTTCTATTTTCAGCATTTCCATCTCAGCGGTTCCGTTCAAAAATGCTAGGGCCAAGCAGCTATTTATCAAAATGTTTTCAATTATTGAAAACGCTAAAAGATGTCAAACCGTCATTTTTTTATGAAAGACCATTTTCCAAACATCCCATAGTGGTATAGAGTAGAGACTAGATACTTAACATTGATTTAAGAAAAAAGAGGCAAATAAGGCCACATACTAACCAAAAAAGGTCAAATAAGACCTTATTTAAGAGGCTCTGTCCGGCCATCGCCATTTGGGATGGTTACCGGTGGAATTTTTTAATGAAATATTTTGAGCATCTTATTCAGTAAGTCTAGTTTACTCATATTAAATTTTCAGCTAAAACTTCTATCGGGAAGTCATTCAAATGAATTCTTGAAGATAACTGTGCAGTTAAAAACGCAGTTACCTTCAAGAATTCATTTGAATGCCTTCCCGATTGAATTGTTAGCTGAAATTTGGTATGAGTAAACTAGACTTAATGAATAAGATGGTCAAAAAATTTCAACAAAAAGTTCCACCGAGAACCACTCAACCACCCCAAATGGCGAAGGCCGGACATAGCCTCATAAATAAGGCCTTATTTGACCTTTTTTGGTTAGTGTTTGACCTTATTTGCCCCCTTTCCCCTAATTTAACACTACAACTTTCAGAGTTGTATTTCTTAGTTTCTGTCGTCGCCTTCATCGGCGCCCAGTTGACATGTTAGCCATCACAACTCTCCAATAATTGTTGCCGCCATCTCTAAAACTCAAATGTTAAACCCTTACTCTTAAAGAAAGCTGTTGAAGGGATGGTGTTCACAGCGGCGGCCCGCAACCAGCACCAGTAAACCGGAATGTTAAACACCAAATCGGTGGCAATAGCACTACAATGCCAGTATGCCACTGTATACTTGTATAGCATTGATGTGATTAAAATGGTTTATGATAAATGTAATAGAATATATTTGGGGATATTTGTTTCCTTTTGTACCTTGATCTCTCTTATTATATATATTCAGGTCAGGACTCCTATTGGAGCACCTTTTCCCAAATAGTTTCACATGGTATCAAGAGTCTAAAAGAAAAAAAAAACTTTTTTTCTTTTCTCCTTCGTACGTCTCCTACGTACGTCTTCTACGTAAGTTCGTGTCGCCGCCATGACTGACACAGCTCTCTCAACGGCGCCGCTGACCGCTTCAATGACTGCACCTCCGATTTCCTCTACGGTGAGTGCCGGATTCAGTTCTGCCGCAGAATCCTTGTCTACGGTCATCATGTCCTCTTCTTCGGCTCAATCCCAACCACCGCTATCTACACCAGTGGGCCAGTTCACCATGCCGCTGCCTTTTTTCGATCAGATGGCCTCCTCCTTTTCGCCATACACAGCTGCCCAGGACTATTCTCTCTTCAGCACGTTACCTCATCAGTTCCCGTGGCAGCCGGTGAGCTCTCTTGTTCCCTCGGCAGGAGTTTGCCCAGCACCGCAGACACCGTCTGGCTCCACCTATTTTGGACCGTCCTTTGCTGGATTACCCGGTGTCACTCGGCCGAACCATGACAATCCCTTGTTTGGATCTCCTATGGCTACCCTGGCTCAAACCGTCTCCCATGGCATTGCAAATGTCGGGCAGATTGTGATAATTAAACTTAAAGCGGTGGAGGACTACTTGACATGGAGAACTCAGTTTGAATCACTTCTCGTATCCGAAGGCCTTTTTGGTATTTTAGACGGCTCTATTCCGGTACCTCCCTTATACACTCTGAATTTTAATAATCAGCAGGTCGTTAATACTGATTACTATCATTGGCTTCGAGTAGATCAAACAATTCGTTCTTGGTTGTTTGCTACTTTATCTCGCGAAGTATTAACTGATGTGCATGATATTAAACATTCGAGTGGTATATGGGAGCGATTACAATCTCGTTTTATGTCTGCTAGTTTACCCAGAGCAATGGAACTTAAACGGTTACTGACTAATACTAAAAAGAAGGCAAATCAATCCATGAAACATTATTTGCGTGAAATTAAAAATTTGGCGGATGTTTTATCTACAATTAACTCTCCTGTGACTGATAGAGAATTACTTCAAAGCACGCTACAAGGATTGGGACCGGAATACCGCTTTGTTACAGGCACCATATCTTTGTTCCCTGAGAGCTTTCCCCCGGATATACTCCACCTGCGTCTCATGGAAGCCGAACAACAGTTGCTGTATCAAAAGCAACAAGAAGCCTCCATCCAACCGGCATTTGGAGCTCAGGTGCAAGCCGGGTAGAATGGTCAGCCAGCCGCGTACGAGGCAAGGGAGGCCGCGGCAGAGGCGGAAGCCGTGGCAGAGGCGGCGACCGCGGCAGAGGCCGTTACCAGCCACATCAGGCCTATGGCCAGCAGGTCTTCCAGCCACAGCAGGGTCTCAGCCCGAATCAGCAAAACCTCCAGCAACACCTCCGGCGGCAGGGGGTGGTTTTCACCCGAGACCTACTAATGCGGCATCTGGTAAATCTGTTGTGTCCATTTTAAATATTAATTCTAAATCTACTTTTGGTACTCACTTACATCATGCAGGTTTCCCGTCAGCTGAGGGAATTCTTGGTTTAGTTCCTCCTCCAATCGTGTGTCAGATTTGTTTTTCTGCAGGACATTCTGCCTTACATTGTCCGTCCCGTTTCTCACAACCCTCTGCCTTACATTGAAAGCTAAAATAAAAATTCATTTTCAAATGGTGTTTCTATAGCAAACTATTTATGATTTATGAAAATGTTTTAGCACCACTTTCTAAGTTTGAATAATTGGCAATAATTAGAACAACTAAAGAATTAACGTAGTCATGATTAAAATAGTTATTGTTAATATTTATAAATTATAATCTAGTAGAGAAACATAAATATCATATTTCGTCATTTCGGATATGACATGATACGAATATACGATACATGGCAATATGGCATGATAAATATAAACCATATTAGCATGACAAATATGGATCTTGATAGATTTGATAATATGGTGAAATTGTGCACCAGATTTAAGTTAATTTATTTATAAAATTACACACCAATTACACGCATAATTTATTTGAAGAACTGATTTCAATTGGATGCAAAGAAAATAAATAAAAACTTTTTGAGCTTTTCCATTGAAATTTTATAGGGAAATAGTGTCTTTAATTTGGATAGTTTAGAATCAAGAAATGAAAATTCAACTACTTTTATAATCAATTAAAATCATACTTCCTCCGTTCTATAATTGTTGCAGGCGGCAATATTTTTGCTTTGCTGCTAGTCCTGCTCAGGGCCGGCCCAAGGGAGGTGCAACCAGCCCGACCGCACAGGGCCCTTCAATTTGGAAGGCTCAAAAAAAAATTTTATTAGTAGTATTACTCAGCCCACAAGATCCAATCCTCTAATCTTTGAACGGCTAAAGGAAATACAGAGTAGGAGATTAGGAACGAACACTAGTAAGGAACGAAGGGAGTTAGGGAACAGGCTAAAACGCAAGCCCAATCTGCCGAAGTAGGAACTCGATTGGAACGAACTGCGAAGGTCGAAGCTTCGAAGGAGTTCGCCGGAATCGCCGCCACTCGCTAGCAAGAGCAGGTTGAATTCTCGACTCTCCACTTCTCCAGCTCGCCAACTCCGCCAAGTGCCTCCAGCTCCAGTCTCCACTTCCCTGATGGCCTGACCGCAGTCACCGCACCATTGAATATTTGCCCCAGAGTCTCGTAACTCGGTAAGCACTCCATCAGTCTATGATTTTTCTATTAATTTGATTCTTTGACATTTGAATTGCATGATTAGTGGAATCTGTTTATTCCATTTTCAGTTTGTTGCCTACGGGTATTAAGTAATTGAATGGAATCTGTTTATTCCATTTTCAGTTTATTTGAATGATTTATTAGTTACTACGGGTATTAAGTAATTGAATTGAGAATAATTGTGTTTAAAAATTACTCAATTAAGAATTTGAATAATGTAAATTTGATTTTAACCTAAATTTTTTAAACATGACAGGATTAGTACTTGAATAATTGGTCGCCTCGGCAGAACGAAGTTTTTCAAAGCTCAAGTTGTTGAAGAACTACTTGCGGTCAACTATGTCACAAGAAAGACTCAATGGATTGGCGTTGATATCAATAGAACATGAAACACTCCAAGAGATTGACATTGCAAGTTTGGTAGATGACTTTGCCTCTAAATATGCAAGAAGAATGTCTCTTTTCAAATGAAAGGTACTTTATTAATGATTACTTTCATTTTTATTTTATGTTAATTAGTACGTAGTAACTTGTATTTAATCACATCACTTGTGTTTGGAACATGAAAAAAGGCCCAATTTTTCCCGTTGCACAAGGCCTCCGAATTCTCAGGACCGGCCCTGGTCCTGCTACATTACGATGGAATCTTCAGAGCCGCTAGGTTGGAATCACGTAAATTTGTTATCCTCAAATTAACGGGTGTAAAGTAGTTTACTACCCTGCCCCCAAATAAAACATTTTACATGGTACGGTGTAAAGTGTGATTAAAAAAGTGTCCTATAGTTTACATTAAATAGTTATAACAAACGGCGTAAAATGTTTACTTTCCCACACTTTACACGCAAAGTGTTTACTTTACATCGTAACAAACGGCCCTAAGATAAAAGTAATTGCGGGAATGAGATTAACGGCGGCACTTGCAAATGAAGGTGAGGTTAGGATTGTGCGATCCGCGAAGAAAGTATGAGTCATTGAACCCCTGCAAATGCAATTAATTTACTTTAATTTTGACAATGAATACATTCACATGAAATGTACATACAGTATGTTACATTAAAGTCAAATAAATAACTCATACCGTAAGGTACTCTAAGCATGTTTTCAGTTGGATTCAAGTTCTCCGATCTTGAATTTTTCAAGTGTGATATGATATAATTCATTTTTTTGATCATCAACCACCATCTCATATTAATTAATAAAATCGTTTGTCAGCTGGCTTACAATATAATCAGGAGCTATATCAAAGGTACTCTAGCCAGTGCATGATCTGAGAGCACACGTTGTTCTCCTATGATCTGAGAGAACAACGTGTGCTCTAGCCAGTGCATGAGCTACACGATTCGCAGATCGTCTACAAAAAGAAACACTATAATTATTCTTTGTTGTCAAAATTTCTCTAATGTCGTCCAGGATAAGACAAACCTCCCTCTTGCTGAATACCCTGAACAATTGAGAGTGCGTCTGTCTCGAAAGCCACTCTCTGCCAGCCCGCTGTGATCGCCTCCTGAATAGCCTCCCTCAACCCAATCGCTTCTGTTTCCGCCGGTGACCATCCTGCATTGGCAGACCCTCCTCCCGCCTTAATAAAATCCCCCTGCTCAGTCCTTGCCACCCAACCCCAGGCCCTTTTGTCACTATTTGGGTCCAGAGCAGCATCAACATTTATTTTAATAAAATCCCTCCCCGGTCTGCGCCATACCTGCATATTCTCACTGGGCTTTTTCTTTGACTTTATCCCTCGCTGCTAATGACTCCTGCCGAACCTTGCCACTCATTTTTCCAAACAAGAGCATTGCGCCGCTTCCATATACCCCAAAATAGGGCCACAAACTTTCCTTGTTGCTCTCTGCTAGCATGTGTGAGTTGATGCTTAATCCACTCCTGCACTTGAGTCACTCCACTAGCCCGATTAACTCCCGCCTGCTGCCAAACTTCCTGCGCATAAACGCACTCCCAGAAGGTGTGTTCTAGGTCTTCGGAGCCTCCATTGCAGAGATGACAATTTTCGCTAATTTGCACGCCTTTTCTCCATAGATTATCAACTGTAGGGAGCGTTCCATCCAGTACCTGCCAAATAAAATATTTAAATTTAGGAGGTACCTCAAGTGCCCACAAGTTAGCCCAACTACTTGTTCCTCCGGATGGGACTGTATTGACTAACTTCATGTAGCAACTTTTAACAGAAAAATTCCCATTTTTCTCCCCTGTCCACCAGTAGCCATCATCTCTGTCCACTTTACTAATCGGTATGCTTAAAATTTGATCTCTATCCACCGCTTAAAAAATAGAATGAATCATCTCCCTATTCCATTCCCTCCCCGTATGGTTCCTCAACGCTGCCACATTCATATCTCGGACTCCAGGGGGTTTGGCTGACTGGATTCGCCCCGAACCCTGTCCCGGCAACCATGCGTCTACCCAAACCTGCACATCTCTACCATGTCCCACTCGCCTGCGAGTATTATTCCTCAAGATTTCTTGGGTCTCAAAAAAACTCCTCCAAACAAAAGAAGGATTGTTCCCTAATTTAGCATTCAAAAAGTCTGTGTTCGGAAAATACCTTGCTTTCAAAACCCTGCTCATTAAACTTCTCGGCTCTGTTATTAGCCGCCATCCCTGTTTGGCAAGCATTGCCAAATTAAATTCCCTGATCCTGCGAAAACCCAAACCCCATTCACTCTTCGGTCGACATAGAAGCTCCCACCTGCGCCATCGAATCCCTCTTTGGTCAAATTTATTACCCTTCCACCAGAAGCCATTTAACAATTTTTCTATCTCATCACATAAATCTTTAGATAGCAGGAAAACATTCATCGCATAATTTGGGAGCGCCTGCAATACATTCCGAATAAGAACCGCCTTGCCCGCTCTGGAAAGAAATTTATTGTTCCAATTTTTTATTCTACTCACACTGCGGTCCCTCAAGTAGCTCAGAATGTCTGATTTATTTCTCCCCACAAGCGTCGGCAACCCCAAGTAACGACTCTGACCACTCTCCCGGGGAATATTAAAAAACTGACAACACGAAACACGAGTGACTTCATCCACATTCTGGCTAAACGTCAAGGAAGATTTATTGTAATTTATAGCCTGTCCAGAAGCCTTCTCATAATCCTGCAAAATTCTTTTTATCATAGAGCATTCAGTATAATTAGCTTTAAAGAAAAGAAAGCTATCATCCGCAAATAAAAGGTGGGAGATTTTTGGTGCTCCACGGCACACCGCCACTCCATGGACTTCTCCTTTCGCTTCCGCCCTTCGAATCAGTGAGCTTAGACCCTCTGCAACCAAAATGAAAAGATAGGGTGATTGGGGGTCCCCCTGCCGCAGACCCCTCTTCGGAATAATAGGACCCAAAAAGTCTTTATCAAACTGAATAAAATATTTGACAGTTGACACACATTCTATAACCAAATGCGTCCACCGGTCATCAAAGCCAAGCGCTTTTAACGCAGCCTCCAGAAACCTCCAACTGACTCTATCATATGCTTTGCTCATGTCTAGTTTTATAGCCACATAACCTTCTTTACCAGCGCTTTTCCTTTTCAGATAATGATGTGTTTCAAAAGCAACCACTACATTATCAATGATAGACCGTCTCGGTATAAATGCACTTTGATTGTCATCAACCAAATCACTAAGAATGCACTTAAGCCTATTTGCCAGAACCTTTGAAAAGATTTTGTAAACCACATTACACAAAGCTATAGGCCTCCAGTCCCCCATATTTTCTGGCTTGTCTTTCTTAGGAATTAAAACCAAGTTTGTAACATTTAATTCCTTAGGAAAGAAGCCAGAATAAAAAATACTTGAAACAAGTCGCGCCACCTCAGGGCCCACAATATCCCAGTAAGCTTGGAAAAACGCCGGATTCATTCCATCAGACCCTGAAGCCTTGTCGGGATGCATATCAAACACTGCTCGTTTCACCTCATCCGGTCTAATAGGACGAAGCAACACAACATTCTGGCTAGGCGTCACATGTTTCCTGAAATCCACCTACCTGAGTAATTCCTCCCCTTGCTGTGCCTGGAAGATATCAAGAAAATAATCCAATACCATACCCCCAACTCTGTTACGATCGGTGATCCACTCCCCTCCAGCCGTCTTGAGCCCCATAATTTTATTCCTTCTCCTTCTCTGTTTGACTGCATTGTGAAAAAACTTGGAATTGATATCTCCTTCCTTAAGCCAGAATTCTTTAGCTCTCTGTCTCCAATACTCATTCTCCTTTTCCATATGAGAGTAAAGGGTGGCTCTTAGTCTAAGAAATTCTGCAATGTTGTGGTTATCCTCTCTCCCTCGAAGCCATGCAATTCTACGTTTACATGCTAGTATTTGGTGTCGGAAACCCCTTTTCTTACAAGCATCCCACCGGAGCAGTTCATTGCCACAAAAGTGTATTTTTTCGGGTACGGTCATATGGGTCCCTACGCACCAACTACTAGCCACCACAGTCCTGCATTCCTCTTCTTTTAGCCAATTATTTTCAAATTTAAACGCCTTTTTCTTTCGCCCATGAATAGTAGGCATAATAGATATACTTAGAGCCATATGATCGCTTACCGGAGCTTCCACCGAGGTTGCTTGAGCTGCCATGAATCTGTTCCACCACTCATCATTAACCATAATGCGATCAAGTTTCGCCTCCACCCACCGAGCCGTCCCTAAACTCTTTCCCCACGTCCATTGGTATCCCGAGAACGGGAAGTCCCGTAAACCACAATCCCGAACGCATTCCTGGAAACCACGAAGTCTCCATCTCAGCTGTGAGATCCTGCCTTTCTTCTCCGAATCATAAAGAATGTCATTGAAGTCACCAATCACCATCCAAGATCCCTGTTGTCTATCTGCTAGGTCTCTGAGAAATGCCCAGGCCTCACGTTTTCTAACCGTCTCCGGGAATCCATAGTAGCAAGTGAGCCTCCAAGGAACATCAGCAGGTGTTAACTTGACCATGGCATCAATAAAAGTTGGCTGAATGTCATAAACGGATATATCAACATCATCAGTCCATCCCAATACCAAACCCCCGCTCTGCCCGACACTGTCTGCTCCAACACTGTGAATGAGGCCTTGTGTTCGAATGATTTCTTTCGCTCGTTGGCATCTCACCTTCGTCTCCATCAAGAAAAGGATTGACGGCCTGTGTTGCTGTACAATATCCACCACGCTTTGGACGGTTGCTGCATTACCCAACCCCCTGCAGTTCCAGCTTAGTATACTCTTGGGAGCCCCTGCTTCCAACAATTCAAATTGCACTTGCTGTCGGACGTAATTCTCAGACGGATCCTCCTTCAATCACCCCTGAGAAACTCACACTTTGATTTGCCTTTACCCCTGAGATCCGCGCCCCTAATCTAATCGGGATCTCCCCGAGAATTACAAACTACCGAGCCGGACAACGAAAAGTTGCCGCCGGAGAAGAAGAAAACCCCAAGCTAGGGTACGGCCGCCACACAGTTTTTTTTGGGTTATAGAATATTAGAAACCGAAAAGTCGGAAAAGTTTAAAAAGTATATGATATAATTCATTGAAATATGATTTTGTAAAAGTTTGCTATGATGCAATTTTTATATTTTCAAGTTGGGTGAAGTGTAGTCTGATTTATTCTGGTCAATTCTATTTAAGTAGGATCTGATTAAATTAAATTTGGTTCAAATTAAATGAAAATGAGCTGTCTATAATTGTTAGTGTAAAGTGTAAACGTACGGAGAGGAAGATGAAAAGTGATTTCTTTCTTACTTAGATGCGTAATTTGAAAGAAGAGAACATCAAAGATTATGTATAAATAAATGACGCAATTGCACATTTTAACATGTAGTTATTCTAGAGTCGAATACCGTAAATCAAATTTCAAGATGCCCTAGACAAAAATTAATTCTCCTTATGCCTCTATAAAAAACACATCCTACGAGCTAGGCCACTCAATGCAAGAGCTGATCATCGTTCCCATAGGAGAACATATAGCTCTTGTACTGTTAACACTTTAATTAATTTTGGTTTAAGACGTAATAAAACATTATTAATGATCTCTACATTCGGACGGACTGACGGAGTGTCATTGATATATTTAATTGCAAATATATTACCGACATTCTACCTTAATTAAGATGCACTCATGCATTTGGATACTTATGGCAGACTTAAAGTTCTCTTCATGTGGGAGATTTCGAGTTCAAGTTATGAATTTCGAATAATTTTCTCAAATGATGTGTTTCTCTAGCCCCAGTGGAATGGTTGCACAATCGTATTTCGTTTTGCTTCAAGTAAAGTTATAGTGTGAGAGTTAGCTTTTGAATGAAAACTTGAGAATGTATTGATCAATTAGTGATAATTCTCTCGAATGTTGTGATGCAAACTGATATACGTACGTTTGAAGTGGGACAATCAAAGTGCAATATCAAATAAGATCACATATTTAAATTTAAAATTGGAAAGAGCAAGCATGAATGAAATGGAGGAGATATGAAAAGATGCGGAAGGAATGTTGAAGAAAATGAAAGGATCCAACATGGACGAAGGATATTGGACACAATTGTGCTTGGGGTACACAAAGTGTACACACATTGTACACACTATATATACCTTATTTTTTTTTACCATTTCACTTTTATCTTTTACTCCATTCATTCTCTCTCATTTCCCTTAATCCCTTTTCTCTCGTTCTCTTCCTCCATATTCTCTCGTTCTCTTCCCTGCACTCTACCTAGTGGTTCTCTTCTTTCACTTTTTTTTTTCATTTTCAAACTCTGTGATTTCAATATCATTTCAATCTTTCTCCTCATTTAGTTTTCATACAGATATTCATTTTTCTCTATAGTTGATCCCTCTTCTCAAACCATGAGGTAATATATATTTCCTATTTTTCTTGTGTGCTTTGCTTTTCTATATTTTTCCCGATTTTACATATATTGTGGATGTTATAACCTTTAATAATTGATTAAATTATCATATACATCAATTTCAATTCTTCTCCCAACTTAATCGTAAGTAATTATTCCCATTTTTTCATATGCATTTATGGTTTTTTATATACTTTTCCTAATTTCATGAATATTATATATGTTTTAACAGTGAAAATTGATTGCTTTGTTTTATTGTAAAAGATTTGAGGGGTTAATTATTGAAATTTTAGTGTAAATACTCTAGTTTGTTTTTGCCCATAAAGTGTTTGTTGAAATGACTAAGTGAACTTTTGTTCAAATTCAATATTTTTTCTGCTATTTTTAATTGTAAATGCACTTTAGTGTTTATTGAGTTTCATATTCAATTTTTTCAAATGCAAGACTGAGAGAACCTTCATTTTTACTTAAATAATTGACTCTTTTATTCCATAAAAACTTACTATAGTTTTTGAATGACTATTTTATTTGATTATTTTAAATTTTAGTTTGGGGATATTCATAAGAATGCAGTAAAGAGAAGCATTAGTTATTTATTAGGGCCTCACTTGGAACACTAATAGACTCATGATTCTTTGTATTGGGACTGATGTTCCCTTTCAGTAGCTTAATGAAAAAAAATTATGACTAATATTACTCTTTTGTGTTTATATTGTTGATATTTTTGGTTGCAGTTTAAATTATACCACATGTTCATTGTTTGAATAGAAGCTGTTTATTTTTCTCAGGCAAGTTGGTGCACACAAATGATTCGGTATAGCTAGGCATTCCACCTCATTTTGGGCAACTTGTATTTTTTTGGAACATAGAGTGACTAGTTCATAGAAGGTCTTCTTTACCCCACTCAGAATGCTCCTACTCCTTTACGATTAACACGGTAATGTCAATTGGGTGCAGAATCTTAGAAACGTAAATCGGGTGAAGTACTCTTCCATGAATTGAAAGAATGAAAGGTGATGGTCATTTCAAGCGCAAAAGACATGCAAGAGTGAAGAGACCGAATTGCAACCTCTAAAAAGTGTCCATTTGTTGGAAAGAGGGAATTTCATTTTTTGGAGTGTTTTTTCATTATGTAATAAGATTTTGACCTTGTTTCTTGACATATTGGTCATGCATATTGGTTAGGGCCATTTTGTTTCCCCTTTATTTTAATTTATTGTATCTTAAGAGGATGTGTCTCAATTCTAGGGGTGATTAATACGATTTGCCTTTCTAATCCCATCTATGTAATTGTTGATTGGTTTTAATATCTTTACTTACTTAAGTTTTACATACTCGAAAAAGAAATAGGCATGTCTGCCAAGAAGGGGCTAATATTAACAAGAAATGAAATGCCTAATCACAACCAATAACCACTAGGACGGCTAATGGGTTAAGTAGAACTGTTTGTGAACTAGAGATGAAATTCAACTAATTCAATCAATTCAACCGCTTACATAAAATTAAGAATCTCATTTAAATAAATTCACTTGGCAAATCAACTCGTTTCAGCGACTATTGTTTGTAACCAGACACTTCAAGTCGCGTTCACAGACAATTCCAATTAGCATATTTGCCTATTCCAGTGACTATTGCTTGTAGCCGGACATTTCGTGTCTGGTTCACAGACAATTCCATTCAGCACATGAGCTCATTAGCCCAACTCAGTGGCTATTGTTTGTATGCAGACACTTCATATCACGTTCACATACACTTTCACTTAGTACATTAGGTCCGTTCAAATGGATATTGTCTTTAACCAGAGAGCTCATGCCCGCTTTACAAGCAATTCCATTAGTGTACTAAGTGAAAATGTCTGTGAACCTACTATAAAATGTCTGGCCACAAACAATAATCACTTGAATGGGCTAATGAGCTAATGTGTTAAGTGAAATTGTCTGTGAACCAGACATGAGATGTCTGGCTAAAGGCAATAGCCACTGGAACAAGCAAATGTTCTAATTGGAATTGTCTGTGAACGTGACATGAAATGTCTAGTTACAAACAATAACCACTGGAACAAGTAACTCTGAGAAGTGATTTTATTTGACCGAGATTCTTAATTTCATAAACAACTATTGTCCATGGATAAAATAGAAAATCAAGTATTAAAAAAGTTTTTAGGTAAGTTTCTTTTTCGCACAAACCATTTTTATTTGGGCATATTAACGTAACTTGTGTATAAGAAAATTCAAAGTTAGTTCCTACCAAGATCATGTATTATCGTTTAGCTATTTTGCAAGATGTTTAACACTTTCGTGATTTACATCTATTTTGTATTTATTTAATAATTATAACGAATACAAACTAAATATATAACACCGTATCATAATGAGAGTAAGATTACTAATTCAACGTTTCAACCAACTTACAACATAATTTCAAAACATAACTTACTTCACCAACATTGAAGTGCCACTTTCTTTTTCATAACATAAAAGAAACATCTTTACAAACATAAATCACTCCTAATACAATATCATTCTAACCGAGAATCACCTCAAATTGAGGTGACCGGAACACAGCCCTGTCCGTCCTGGCCGGACAGGAAGATTTCTCTATCTATGATACTAAAAAACAACAACACTTTATAGCACTCTCTTGTTGTCTCTCCCACCAGCTGCAACTCCCCTTCGCTCTTCCTCTCCGTCCTCTCCACTCTTGCAGGAATGTTTATGCCCATTTTCACCTCACATTTCCTGTTTTCACACACACCACAAACATTATTACTTACCATTGGTTCTTATCTACTTCTTCATCTTTTCATGGATTAAGAGTTTAACTATGAATGTTGTTATTCGTACAATCGTACCTTGAAGTATCTGAGTTATCCGTATCTTCTTCTTGAGGATTAGATTCATTATCTGAGGCACCACCATCTTCATATAAGTGGTAAGTGCAAATGAAATGATAACAAATATATTACATAAAAATGTCACTTTTACTGTATAGAGGCAATGTTGGTTTTATCCGGAGTAATTGTAGTGAAACAGCAAAGTACTAGGAAATTAAATGTTCAATAGATTTTCTAAATGTAAAGATAGATAAAGGGAAAATCGGTGCTCCCAGGAAACAGTGGCATCTTCATTATAGGTAACCAAAGGATGAACACACACGATTACCGCCACAGGACGGGTGGCCACCGGGGAATAATCCTTGTGAAAATCCAGCTGCCGTTAGGCAGAAAACGTAGGCATCATATATAGAAGCAGGAGCTTCTCTGTGGCCTGAGACCACTGAAATCGGACCTGCAGTCATCATGTCAACACAAGTAACAAGGACACAAGGGACACGTTCAACAGTTTGGTTTTCAATAGAGTCTAAACCAACATCAATTACTCGGACAACAGTTGGGGCATCATCTAAACCATCAACAATAAGAGGGACATTTATCCCAGAAATGTTTCAATAGAGTTTAATGAAAATATAAGTTCCAAACAAATCACAAAACTCCAAAAACAATGTGACTTTTTCAAGTAAACTGATAATGAAAGAAATCAGTTAATTATATATAATTTTTATTTTCAAAATCTCTTGATTGTCTGGAAATTTTGGTTAATCAGAAAATGTAAGCACCTTGGTCTATAATGAATTTCAGATTCTATTTTTCTTCAAATGCAAGACTGGAGAACTTTCTTTTTTACTTAACTTAAATAATTCACTATTTTAAGCAACCTAACGACCACTACCTCCACCCTTCAACTGGTCAATGTCTTCACCTCCAT